AGGCTTCGATGTGTTTCGCTTGTGGCGCGACGACAGCGCCGCCATATCCTGTATATACCATTAATGTTTTTAACTTATTATAAGTCAGTACTTGACTACAATGCCACCTAGTGGTAAGTGGTGATGCAGTCCTAGATGGTAAATCGCACTGTCTTAGCGTAACAAAAACATATTCACTCTTGCCTTGAAGACGCCAAGATTATATTCGGATGGAAAGATAGACGCCGGCAAACTACTCCACTCCTTTGCTGTACGCATTACAAAAGTCGAAGCAAACCGTTTGGTTCTAATGTGTGGAATAGCAACAACAAAGGGGTCAAGACCCGCCGAACGCCTGGTCGTCCGATGGAGGAAAGGAGAGGGAGGAATTGAAGCGTGTAATTCCTACGCACACTCACCGAAATGCTTCCTATAGAATACCGAAAGAATGGCTACTCTGCGCCTGTGCTCGAGGCTGACAAGATTGGTTTCAACAAAATCAAGGTCACCAATGAGCCTCTTAGCACGTCTCTCTACTGAGTCCTACGCTGCCAGGTGGCATTTTGCAGCACCAGCCCATATGTGACAGCAGTACTGCATGCATGACCGGACATACGCTTTATATAAGGTAAGAAGCTGCCTGGCCTGAAGTACCACCGCACCCAAAGCAGCCGCAAGGACACCAAATTTCCTTGCGGCTGCTTTGGCTCTGGACTCAATGAAGCGCCCATAGTTGAGGTTCGGAGAAAATGCAACCTGTAACAACAGAATGCGGTCAGTGTACTCCAAGGACACATTCCGGAAAGTAGGAGCCAGAGTGAGTGGGCGGGAGCACGCTCAACCTTAGCCTCTCGTTCAGACTGGATTGGATCCCGACTGGCCCGGGCACTTTGTTGGTATCTCTCCATAACTGTGCTGTTGTTTGCATACCCATAGATACTGGGAATGAGCAGATCATTTAAATGCAGCAGGAAGAGAGTTGCGGAGAGAACTGAAACCTGAGGAACACCGGCGGTTGTCGCGATAGAACACAACGAGCAGCCATCGATGACAATTTGGAAAAAACCTTTACCCAAAGCTCTTTATCCAGTCAACCAGGCCAGGGGATAAGCCTTCCGCTGCCAAAACGCCTATAAAACTAGCGTGCCAAACCCTGTCAAAAGCCTTCGAAACATTGAGGGAAACAGCAAGTTTTTCACCACTGTTTTCGAAGGCTTCGCCCCATATGTGAGTGGCATACGCTAGAAGGTCCTTAGGCGCATGGCGTAGTAAGCCATCTGGTATTACCAGCGGGGGCAATGTAGACCGACAGAAGTTTGTCTTGACTGCTTTGGCGAGAGACCAAAAAGCTCTACTGCCAGATCTTTTGACAGATAGCTTTGTACCGATGTATTTAATGCGGTCGAAAGTGGCTTACCGTAATGCCTTTTTGCAGCCCTTGGTGGCTTGGTCAAAGGCTCTCTTCTTAAGGTTAATATTTGGAGCTTTGCTGTCTCGAGCATTGGCCCAGGATAAGTACGCCATATGCTTGTGCTTTTCAGCATGAACTCACTCGGCGTTGAACCAAGGGCGAGCTTTACCACCGATGGGCACGTCAGCAAAGGTATGAAATACTCAATCGCATGATGTATCACATCGGTTATGGCATCCGTGCAGCTCGTTGGATCTTCAGACGAGAAGCAGACTTGCCGCCAAGCATAAGATGGAAAGAAATGGCGCATCTCATCCCAATCTGCTGACTTGTATAGCTACACTCGCCACACACCGTGGAAATCGTAGTTAGGTAGCGAATGTAATGACACAGATTTCACCAGACAGTGGTCAGAAGTTCCCGAAGATGAAGTAACCTGAACATTGCACCTGTCTGGATCGATCGTCAGCAGAAGGTCGAGGCAGGTGGCTGTGTGCCCATCCACATTATGTACCCTAGTCGCTTGTTGTAGCAGCTAGGAGAGCCACAGCGACAAGGCAAAATTCCACGCCTTTCTCCCAGCATGATCGGTATTCTGGTATGGGAACAGTCATTCCTGATAACAGCCGTTAAAGTCCCCTAGAAAAACCAACTGTGCATTAGGGTACCGATTTAGACCCACATCAGAGGCTTCACTGAGGTGTTTAAACAGCCTAGTTGTCCCCTGGTCACCGCTGTGCGATCGGTAGACACAAGAATAAATAATTTTATCCATTCTTGTGACTATCAATACCCAGATCGTAGAGAAAGTGGGGTCTTCAAGGTGACGGAGACGCTTACAGCAGATGGCGTTGCGGACGGAAACACAGACTGCGGCACGCTGATGGAATTATACTCAAATGTTTACCCAGGTGGCCAAGGTACGCTGCATCTAGAGGACATCTGATCGGCGTAGCGATCGGTAGACACAAGAATAAATAATTTTATCCATTCCAGTGACTATCAATAACCAGATCGTAGAGAAAGTGGGGTCTTCAAGGTGACGGAGACGCTTACAGCAGATGTTGTTGCGGACGTAAACACAGACTGCAGCGCGCTGATGGAAATTATGCTCAAATGTGTACCCAGGTAAACAAGGTACGCTGCATCTAGAGGACATCTCATCTGCGTCTCAGTTAAGAAGAGTAAGTGCGGCTTCTCAGTCTGAAGGTGTTAGTGGACTGCATTGAGATTACAGTGCAAGCCTCGGATGTTTGTAAGGTGCACTTTGATGGAGAGGGAGTGCAAACATGTAACAAACTTACTGCAAACATATAACAACAAACATGTGTACAAGCTTACACTTTTTCCCACTTTTCATAAATGGTGGAGTAAATAGCCTAATAATAGAGAGAATGGCAGTTAGACGAGGCATCACACATATAACCTAGGGACGCAAACATAGTCATAGCATCGATGGTACCTAGCATGGAGATCGCGGGGACGCCCGCAACCCCCTCCCCTCTCCTCCGGTCGCTGACCGGCATGGTAGAGCCATCCCAGGATTTTTCGTAAAATTGCGGGGCAGCCTTTCATGAGTGGCTGGCTCATTAATTGGACCCCCAACTATCTACGGTCGGCCAGCGGTGCAACCGTGCTTCGGATCCCGCTAAGCTCCATAACTAGGCACCTGACACTAAGAAACGGCCACATCGCAACCGGTTTTTATGCGCAACGCAACTGTCCAGACCCATTCTCTTTAAGAAATGGGTTTCAGCTAACATCATACCGGAACACGGCTTGCATCATTTGGCGGTATGTCTTTGCCAGGTGGGTGGTAACTAAGCCACTCACTAGTACCTACCAACAGTATGTAGTGCTGCTCGTTTAGCACTACCAGGCACTTAGGCACTTTAGGGGATACGTATAGGGAATCAGGATTCTCTACGGACGCGAGTAGCTTCATCCCCCAAAAAAGATGTGAGTAATATCCATGAAGTTATAGAGTAAGTATCATATATCTATAATATGTATATAGAGCCTAATATGAGAAAAGTATGTTCATAATACATACTTACACAATACATACTTATATAATACATAAAAAAATATTATAATTTAAAAGCTTTTACAAAAATTTACTTCGCAAATATCCGCGTTATAAAATAAAATGATGTGTCTTACCTAGTATGAAGAAGAGTATGAAGAAGTAAGACACATCATTTCATTTTATAACGCGGATATTTGCGAAGTAAATTTTTGTAAAAGCTTTTATATAATGGATTTCCGCAAAGTAATGCCTGATTCTATTAATTATATATTATAATTTGATAATATTATCACATCTACCTCTTGCGCTGGAAGGGATATAGTCTTATGTTATTTATTTATAAATATTTGGTACCATGTATCAAAAAGATTACACTGTGCGTACGTATTTCCTAAGTTTACTTTTAAAAAATTTCATGTTATTGCAGTTTTTAACGTCACAGACAATATAATGCTTATGCATGTTTAACGTCATCTGGTAATTTATTGAACAGCTGTGCTCCCTTAAACAGTTTCTTCGTGGTAGAGCCATGCTGCAGCTATATTAATAGTATAGCTGTAGTACGTATGGGTCGGCTCGACCGGGGAAGGACCACGCTCTCACAGAACACCAGCGTCAAATAGCAGCTTAACGCTGCTGTGTTTCGTATGGTGAGTGTAGAGAACCGGAGACCCTTTTTACTGGACAAGAGGCATTCCATCTTAGACCTCACGGGTGACAACGCATCTGCATTTTGATTCTTTATAGATGGTAGATGTAGATGTCTATGGGTCACAGCAACCACTTACCATCAGGTGGACTGTTTGCTCGTTTGTCACCCTATACTAAAAAAATTGTGTATTTTTGCCATAAATAGTTCGTGCAGTCATTAGGTGAAGTTTATTTTTACTTCTTAAGTTGTGTGTTTTTGTTTATTTAACTGTATGTTTGATTGAATAGAATTAGTGGTTATATTTTTTATTAGATTGCAAGTACAATAAGTACAAAGTTATGTTAGATTTAGTTAGTTTTTGCGTATAGTAGATATTCTGCGATGATTCATATCAACACGGTATCGTAATATCTAATACATAGTTAGTTTGTCATCCGATATATAGATATTGAATATTTTACGGATATATAGATATTTTATCTACATTTATACGATTTGTATCGGCCACTCCTAGCACAGATATAGCAAGCTTGCTCACAGAACACTAATACCCTTAAGAGCTTGCTACACCTACTGAACTCATAGACTTATCCTCTATCTACGACAGAACTGCAGATTAATTATTAATCTGTGTGCGTTACCTTACGTTGCGCGTCGTTTGTTAGTCTGTGCGTCGTTTGTGGATTGTGGTGATGTTGTTCAACTTGCTAATTTGGGATCAATAGAGAGAGTTCCCTATATATAATGTACTCTGTGAGAGAGAGATAGGGGTTTTTCGTAAATCAATAATTGTAAAAATAAGCCGCACGCATTGTAGTATCGCTTTCATATTCTCCATTCCATCAAGCGTTCATATTGATGCGTTAAAGATGTAAAATAGTACTTTTGAATGTAGTTCGTTCGTAGTATTAGTTAACGAATAGGACAAGATGCATCGGCGAGGCGGGAAAAGAATCCGAATGGATGATCCTCCTCCGGAGTATGTGAACCCAATGACTCCGGCAACACCAATGACTGATTATGGTGGACAATCAATTCATGAACCAGACATTCCGAATGTAAATTATTCAGGATTTAATGTTGGAGCAGTAGTAAATTCAACGGCAACAGAAGCGCCGAGAGAAGAACCAGAGGATCAACAGGAAGAAGAAGCTCGCTCACCATCTCCAGCTCTCACTAAGCGTATTACGAGAAGTCGAGGACGAGGTGGAGATGGAGGCTTCGTAGGCAGATTAGCAGAGTCCCCGCCACCGCCTCCTTTGCGCAGGCGTGGAAGAGGTGGACGCGGGCGTGGCCGTGGTCGTGGTGCGGCCCCACCACCAGCGTCTTCACCACCACCTGTTCTCATGCCGGGAGATGATGAGAACAGTCTTTACAATATTCTAAGATTTAACAAGACTGCTATTAACGTAAGTTCCTGATATTTATTAAAGAATTAGGTAACTTATTTCGTAGTAAGTGGTATCAATTCTGGGTGCTTCATTTATTTTCTATTAATTGTGAACAGAGAATATGTATGTGTTTAGGGTGATTGGTTGTTTGTTTGTGAAAACCAATGTTTCCATCTATCTCCAAAACATTTTGACCGGTTTAAATCAGTAGTGATTCTAAGATAGAGGTTATGGAGTAAACTTATCAGGGGGGCGCTGCAATAAGCATTTTTCACTCAAACTGAGTATTAGCACATTTTTCTTAGGAAGGCCTGACCAATTTATACCGTTTTTTTTTTGAGATGTATTTGCAAAGATTCTTAGATAGGTTTGATTGTAACAACCCAGTGAAGAAACCACTAGGGGCTATTGATATGGTTTCTTGTAAACTGCTTAAGGCTTTGCAGAACAATATTGGTGAGGAACTCCATGAAGATTCATTGCTAGTAGACCATGTTTGGTCTCTTTTATTAGTGTTTGGTGAGTAGTAGTAACCACCGCGATAACAACCTACTACGCGTATGCACATGCATGGCTCAGCTACGGCATTGTCCTATGGGGAGGCAGATCTGATGCGCCAAGTTTATTAACTAAACAAAAAAAACTAATACGAATCATAGCTAATATATAAAACACAGAAAGCTGTAAGCCTTACTTCAAGAAGTATAATATTTTAAGCCTACCCTCTATCTATATTTTGGAACTATGCAAATTTGTCAAAAAAAATGCAAGTTTCTACACAAAACGAGATGACATCATGTCTAGGAATCTATTACTAATCTAGAAACAAATTAGTGCTGCCAATTTCAAAACTAAAATCTCATTCTTCCAGCCCATTCGCCATGTCTATAAAAATATATAATAAATTACCCGAATATATAAAAAGCATTAAGGACGAAAAACAATTCGTAAAAAACTTAAAGCAACTGCTTATAAATAAGTGTTACTATAATACTTCTGAATTTTTAGATGATAAAAATATAATATAATATAGATATGTAAATAAAAATATGTTAGGTAATAATGAAATGCCATCCTACTAAATAAATTACAATAAAAAATTCAAATAAAATTTAAAATGATTCAAATAATTTAATAAATATTCAACTGTGCTAACTACACCAATTATAATAATACCTTAAATGTCAAAATCAATTCATTAATAAATTATAACAATTAAAATAACCGTATTTAAAATTCATTGTGTGTATGTTTAAATAATAGAATAAATGTTAATATTAAATAATTATTTAAAAATAGCAATAATTATAATAATAAATGTTCCTCCTTCATAATATTGCTGTGCCCATCAGGGCCCATGGAGATACCATAAAACTATGTAACACCTTTTGTAACCTATGGAATGCAATAAAGTTATTGAGTATTATCAGGGGGGTGCTGCAATAAGCATTTTTCACTCTAACTGAGTATTAGCACATTTTTCTTAGGAAGGCCTGACCAATTTATACAGTTTTTTGTTTGAGATGTATTTGCAAAGATTCTTAGATAGGTTTGATTGTAACAACCCAGTGAAGAAACCACTAGGGGCTGTTGATATGGTTTCTTGTAAACTGCTTAAGGCTTTGCAGAACAATATTGGTGAGGAACTCCATGAAGATTCATTGCTAGTAGACCATGTTTGATCTCTTTTATTAGTGTTTGGTGAGTAGTTTCTGTATATGAACTGCTGAGGGTTTAATAAAAAATTAAAATATTTTTTTTTAGCTTAGGTGAAATTTACATCTTTGTAAAGTTTACAATCTAATCAAATGATCTAAAATTTATGTAATTAATTCACATGATTTCCACATATATTAACAATTAAATTAATATAAAAGTGTAAAAATTTAATAAATCGTTTTTCAGTGCACTTTAATTAATGTGTGTTTTTCCATAGTGTAGTCTAATGTAATCAATGTTTCTCTTGATTAAATCAGTGTTATGGATTGTTAACATAAAATGCCCACGCTTCTCACACAGCATGGTAAGCTGAGACTAGGGACTTCCATTTAGCATGATCCAGACTCACCTTCGCCTCATATATAGCCATATTACATACACATAGTTGCTTGGCAATTAACAGTACTCTTAATGGCCCATCTTCAATATATCGTCAATTTGGTTGATAAACTTCCTTCTATGATATCCTTTGCCGGCATTGCCGTTAACTTCTGCACCATAACTTTGCTTTGCTAATTTGTTTTGAATGTTTCTTTTACAATATATTGTTTTAATTTACTCTAATTTTTGGTTAAATTGGAACATCTGGGAATCCGAGGAAACCTTCTGAAATGGATCAAAAATTATCTGAGTGAGTGTATCTAGGAAGGACCTTTCAAGTAAGAGTTGGAAATGTATATTCGCAACTTAAAGATGTCTTCAGTGGAGTGCCACAAGGATCTGTACTCGTGCCTACCCTCTTTGGCATTTTTGTTGCTGATCTGAGTTCTATAATACAATCAGAATCCTGTTTCTTTGCTGATGATGTGAAATACTTCGGGAATCCTCTATTGAACCAGACCTTAAGAGAAGACTTAATCCTTCTAAGTGTATGTTTTGCATCTAGGTCGAAACAATCCCAGAGAAATGTATAAAATTGGAAATTCAACAGTACAGTCAGTTAACTCACACAAGGATTTAGGTGTTTTAATATCATCCAACCTCAAGTGGGCTGACCATATTCATAGTATTGTCAAAAAGGCAAACAGCATTTTGTATGCAATCAGACAATCGTTTCAACATCTGACTCCAGATACATTGCTCAAGGTTTAAAAAACATATGTCCAACCGCTGATAGAGTATGGTTTTCAAATTTGGAACCCCTATTTTCGTAAGGATGTAGATTTGCTGGAGAGTGTACAAAGAAAAGCCACAAAAATTCCATTATGCCTTCACAAAAAGCCGTACGAAGAGAGATTAAAAATATTGAATCTAACAAAGCTGAAATCTCGCCGCACCAGAGACCTTATTGAGACCTACAAAATATTGACACATAAATATAATTCTGCTACATATTTTTAACATCAGCAGTATCCACCGACCTAGACATCCTAACTGTATGAGATTGGCCCACACCCGCTCATACACTAATGTGGGACATCACACATTAAACAACAGAATCATAAATATGTGGAACAACTTGCCTCAAGACGTGGTAGAAGCTCCCTCTGTGATTAGTTTTAAAAACAAACTGGACAAATGGTGTAAAGACAATCCAATTTAGTGTATTCTTAGTGTGAACTTGGACTAATATAAAACACCAACACAGATATAGGCATATCAGCTATAAGCTGCTTGCCTATTACCAGATAATAATAAAGATAATAATTTAGGTATTAGTTTTATTTGGGTGTTTGGCTGTGGAAGATACACATGCATGAAGACAGTACTACCACATGTGTATTGTAATAGAAATAATATGCATTTGTGTGACACATAACCATGTACTTCTAATACCTTTTGTGGTGAAAATTTAAACCAACTCCAATTTCAGAAAAGTGCCTGTCGAAGTCGAAAATATTTAAAGGCACAAATAATTATTACTATTATACTAACTTTTATACTAAGCCTATATATAATAATAACCATTTTAATGATAATAATCATCATCATCATCATCATTACAGCCCTTCACAAGTCCACTGCTGAACATAGGCCTCCCCCAAAGAATGCCACAAAACACGGTCCTGAGCCACCTGCATCCATCGACTTCCTGCATGTCTTACCAGGTCGTCACTCCATCTCGTGGGGGGACGCCCTACACTTCGCCTACCGGTACGAGGCTGCCACTCGAGAACCTTTCTTCCCCATCGGTTGTCGGTTCTTCGAGCTATATGGCTGGCCCACTGCCACTTCAGCTTACTAATCCGTTGGGCTATGTCGGTCACTCTGGTTCTACTGCGGATATCCTCATTCCTAAGTTTATCACGCAGAGAAACTCCGAGCATAGCCCTCTCCATAGCTCGCTGAGCGACCTTGAGCTTCCTCATACGGCCAGCAGTGAAGGACCACGTCTCAGTTCCGTAAGTCATCACTGGCAACACGCACTGGTTGTACAATTTCGTTTTAAGGTTTTGAGGTATGTCTGACGAGAAGATGTATCGTAGCTTCCCGAACGCTGCCCAGCCGAGTTGAATCCGTCGATTGACCTCTCGGTCGAAGTTGGACTTACCCAGTCGGACTATTTGTCCCAGGTAAACATACTCGTCAACAACTTCGAGCTTAGTGTTCCCAACAACTATCGGCATAGGTGTGACATGGACATTAAACATGATCTTAGTTTTGTCCATGTTCATCTTAAGACCTATCCGTTGGGAAACACTATTGAGGTCATTGAGCATAGTGCTTAGGTCCTCCAGCGATTCTGCCATAAGGACTATATCGTCGGCAAATCGAAGGTGAGTGATGTACTCGCCATTGATGTTGATACCGTATCCTTTCCAGTCCAGAAGCTTGAAAACGTCTTCCAATGCAGCGGTGAAGAGTTTCGGGGATATGACGTCACCCTGTCTTACACCTCTCTGCAATTGGATAGGTTTCGTACTCTGGTTCTGTACTCGGATAGCCATCGTAGCCCTACTGTACAAGCACTTCAACACTTCGATATACCGACAGTCAACTTGGCACCGCTGAAGGGACTGCAGCACCGCCCAAATTTCGACGGAATCAAAGGCTTTCTCATAGTCCACATACGCCAGACATAGTGGCAAATTGTACTCTTCGGACTTCTGTACAACTTGCCGAAGGGTATGTATGTGGTCTATGGTGCTAAAGCCCTTTCGGAAACCGGCTTGTTCGGGAGGCTGGAAGTCGTCAAGTCTGCGCGCGAGACGATTCGTAATGACTCTCGAAAACAGCACGTAGACGCGGCTCAGAAGGGAAATCGGTCTGTAGTTCTTCAAGAGAGCGTTGTCACCTTTCTTGAAGAACAAGACCACCGCACTTCTGCTCCACGCCTCCGGTGTAATGCCACCATGGAG